TTACTTCATTTTGTATCCTAGACCTGTGTATGTAAACGAAATAGAAGGCAAAGTTTATGGAGGTTGTTGTGTTTTTGAAGTTTGTGTCACTTGTGTCTCATATCTTGAAAAGAATCTAAAAGAATGTAACAATAAGCTGCGGGATTCAGGAGTGAAGCTGCTCTCTGCTAGACTGGAGAATCCACACTGTAAAATGGAGATACTGAAGTAAGATCATTTTATCACTGTGGATGTGGATCACAAACCACACCTTTGGCTTGTCGTTCTGTATGTGTTTGTCTTTTTCGCTCACACACTCATTCACATACTCACCCACTGTCTCAATCTCACCCACTCAGTCAAATATTCACTCACTCACATACTGACTTACTCAAAAATATTCACTATCTCCCATACTCAATTACATACTCACTCACTCATTCAATCATTTACTAACTAGCTCATTCACATACTCACTTGCTCACTCATTTTTAGTTAAATGTTTGTATGGTTTGAGTCTGTGCTCTATATTGAAAATGCTGAACACTATTTGTTCAAAAGTTTCACAACGACAAAGACATGTTTCAGCTGTAGGACTGTGGGTAAATTACATGAACAATAATAACAATTTTATCTCCCTGGTGATCACTCTGAACAGGGTTCTATAGTTTCACAGTATCTCAAGACAAACCACCCTGCCAACATTAGAGAGAAAAAGGATGGAAAAATTTATAGTTACATTCCATATTGTCCCTGGGTTGATGACTGAGACACCGGGCCAACTGCATCATTGTTTGGGGATTTTCCTGGGAATCGTGGGAGTAGGTCCACTGCGCTTCTAAAATAAAAAAAAAGTTTGCATGTGTTATCAGGAAAAAGAAAAGATTACACAATCATACATTATGGCATTACAGCAACAACATATGACATCTTACAGGATGTGACAAATGTTCTGTGAAATTTCCATATTGATTAGTTAATGGAAAATCAAATTGTTGGTGAAGTTGTGATATTTGTGGTTTATTCATCCAATATTCATCCAATTGTTGCATAACATAACAGGTCAACAGAGGTCACATGTTCTGGGGAAGGTGTCCCTCTTAAGCTGTGCCCTTTTCAGTGAAATTAGTTTTGTGGCTGGTTGAGCGTGCTGGGCTGTCAGTGTCCCTGAAGTGGAGATAAGGCAGAGCATTTTGGGCACAAATTGGTGCTGGAGGGAGAGATTTGCTGTGTTTTTTCTGGGAGCTGATGTGCTGATGTGTCTCCTTCCAGTGGTCAGATTGTGTAATTGCAGACAGTGGGGACTGCTAGAGCAGCGTTCTTCACTACTGGAGCTTCACAGCCTGGTACAGTCTACTGCTCTCACTGCTACAGGACTGAGAATGAGGGATAATTCACTAGACTGAAACTGAGGTGAAAAAGAGGAAAAAACACACACAGTTACCTGGATTTACACAGGACTCACCTTCAACTGGGAAAGTTCACTACACCTAATACAAATATATATATATATATATATATAAAACACACATTAGCACAGTAAACTTTAATCCTCAGCTGGGAGGACTGAACCTCTATGGAACTGGACCTGAAATGATGTGTGTCTTACAGCTTCATAAATGTGTGTGTGTGTGTGTGTGTGTGTGTGTGTGTGTGTGTGTGTCCTCTCCTCTTTTCATACACCACTATAACACTGTGGGAACAGGTTTGTGCCACTGGTAAAGCATAAAATCTGGCAGTAACAATCTCCTGCATCTTCAGTCTGGACATTACTGATGGTCAGAGTGAAGTCAGATCCAGATCCACTACCACTGAAATGAGCTGGAACACCTGACTGTCTATGGTTAGTTTCGTAGATCAGGTGTCTAGGAGCTTCTCCAGGTTTCTGTGGTCAAAATAGCCACTTTGGTACATTGCAGGACTGGTTCTACAGGTGATGGTTGACTGACTCTCCTGGAGAAACAGTTCAGTGAGTCAGCGAGTCACTTACAATATAATGGCCTCATAATGCAGAAAACAACAAATAATATCAGGCAAGAGCTAAAACAGCTTGTGTGAAGAACTAACACAAAAATGATCAATAATATTTTAATTCATTTTGTAGCGTCACAGTTGTTCTGAGCTGAATTTACTTTACTAGGCAAATACATAAATTATGTACTGTCTAATAATATTAATTGAATAAATTAATAAGAATAACACAATTTGTATTTTTCGTGAACATAACTGGTTGTTGCTTTATAAATAAAATTCTGTTCAGCTTGTCTGTGTACAGTGAGATTCTTCTGTATGAAGACATTCACAGGTTTTAATGAGAGGTTTGAACTGTTTTTATGACACTTCATCTGATGTTAGTTAGATTATGAGTTAGGAAAGTTCTAGTTGTTCCACTGTGTAAAGAGGAACTAGTAAATGTTCTCCAGTGCTAGAATGCATTAGTGCTGCTGCAGAGTTTCCAGTTCTTTTGAGTTTAGTCTGAGTTCTTTACTGTAATGAATGGTGATGGTCAGTGTTGTTAGAGAGGGAGTTCAGCTGTAGATTCAGTGCAGTGCTGTGTGTTGATCTTGAGGGAGTTTGGCTGAATTAAGCTGAACATCTGGTGAAAGTGCTGCTCTATTCTGGGAGAAAGAGGACGACTCAGGCCTGTTCATGCAAATCTGAGTTTCACCCCACTGCTCTCTCTCTCTCTGTCTGTTTACTGCTTAAAACCGCTTGTTTGTGTTCAGCTGGGTGGGCTGTGGGGGGCTGGTTTCACTTCTTACTTTAGTGCTGCTGATAACCATCAGTGCGTCAGTCAAATAATGTTTTATTTATACAGCACCTTTATTAAACTCAAAGCAGGTAACAGTGAAACAGAACGAGTGCAGAAACAAACAGAAAGAGCTCTAACATACAGTAGAAGAGCATCAGTTCCATCTGAATGAAAGTGTAAAGGGAGGTAAAGCACTGAGTAAACAGGTGGGTTTTGAGTTGTGTGTTAAAGACAGAGATAGAGGTGAGTTCCAGAGTTTTGGAGCTGTTCCACTAAATTCTCTCCCACTGACTGAGGACAGTCTGATTCACTCTAATCAGACCAGTTCCAGAAGACCTGAGTGTCCGAGCTGGTGTGTAGAGATGAAGGAGTTCAGTAATGTATGAAGGTCAAGGCCATGTATGTCTGTGAAAGTCATGAGCAGCAGCCTGTACTGACCACACAAAGGGACAGATAAGCAGTGCAGTTTATGGAGAGCAGGTGTGATGAGGGCAGAGTGCTTAGTGTGAGTGAGGACTCCAGCTGCTGAGTTCTGAACAGACTGTTATTTAGGGAGGAGTTTAACTGGGAGTCCACTAAGAAGGTCATTACAGTAATGAAGGTGGGAACTGATAAAGACACTGATCAACATTTCTGCATCACTGCTGATAATCATGGGACAGAGTCTAGCAGAATCATGAAGGTGATAGGAGGCAGCCTTGATAAGTGAGTTAATATGGGATTCAGAAGTGAGTGAGGAATCCAATATGACACCAAGATTATGAAGTTTGTGAGGGTTTTATCTGAAATCATCAATATCAATATTATTTCAGAGAGGGAGCTGATAAAAGTATTAGGGGTAATGATCAGAACTTGTTTAAGTAAATTAGAGCTTAACCAAATCTTAATATCACAGATACTGGTAGTTAGAAAGGAAGTGGGCAGGGGCTGATACAGAATTGGGTATCAGAAGTGTAACAATGAAAACATAATCCATGCAGATGAATTATATGACTATTGGAGAGCATATGAACTATGAAGAGAGGGGGGCCCAGAACAGATCTCTGGGGAATACCTTGAGCATCAGGAGCAGTGGGGGATTTGTGTTGCTGTATAGTGATGAGCAGAGATGGTTTCAACTAGTTATATTTCCTCAACAGTTCCATGTACTAAACTAAAGGTGGGTTTGTTCTCTCCTGACTATTTTCAAATTATAATACTTTCATTTCCACTCAAGTAATCTACTTTTTACTGAGTTGTTTATATTTACTTCATGTTTTATGTGTTAAATTCCATTATATCTCACTGGTGACATCTGTATTGCTTTGTGATTGGTCAGATCTCTTTGAAGTCAGACTCCATGGTGGACCAATCTGTCTAACAGCACACCAACTGCTACTGACCACTGTTTTCATTAGATCCAGTTAGCCTCTTGGGAAGTTCTGCACTGTAGGAACACAGAACAACAGTGTAAGTCGTGTAGTGTGAAAGGAGTTGAGAGTGAAAGAGCAGCTTAAAATCAGACTCAAGTAAAAGTGTTGATATTTCAGTGAAATAATGACTGAAGTAGAAGTAAAAGTACAATTGTAGACATTTTTGTCTCCAAGAGATAGCAAAAGAAGTAAAATAAAATGCTAATGCTCCAAAGCAAGAGGTGTGAGCAGCAGCAGAACAGTCCAATAATGATTAATGCAGAAACTTTTTACATCAATCTGTGAGAAGCTTTAATTTATCCTATCAACAGCTCTGGCAATGTTAGTCCCCATAAGGGATTTGTAAAGTTATGTTAGCACCAAGCTAATGGTGGTGCATGTTAATATTTTTTGGAACATCTTACTTAAACATAGACATTCCAAGTTTATAATAGACATTGTGTTTATATATTTTTACTGCCTATGTTTGAGTTTCACAGTGACTTCTACAGTAAAGATCTGAACTTAATGGGTATCTCGGTAATATTATTGGAGTAGCCTGTTATCACTTCTCAGTTTCAGTGACGTATTTTCACCTTCCAGAACTACAATGATGGTATTTTTTATATTGTTTCTATAACTAACTTTGAATATTTGAAAAAAATCATTTGTACTTTTAAATAAATTAAATATTAATAAGTTGTTCATTATCTTGCTATTTTATAAATGCTTTTGACAGCATCTGACCTACAACAGCAGAAAACACAATGTAATTTAGGTTTACAATCACAATTTATGTGTATAAACATGAAAGTGTGTGAAACCTTAATGTGTTGTAATAGAACACAGTTTTTTTTAACTAGATCCTGGCTGACCAGTTAGACAGACAACAATTCCATTATAAATTTATCAGATGTACTTATAACTATGTAGTACTCACCTCTGAATATGATCTCCTAATGAAACTGATGAGTCTGAGTTTGTTGAAGGATTTCTTCAGGGACTCCCTCTTTCTCAGGACTGAGAGAAACATCCATTTCATAATCTGCCCAGATCCTTATAATAAACTTTATAATAAATGAGACTCTAGCTGAACTCTACAGCTAGTTCCAGACCTGTGGAGATCAGGAAATAAATCCCTAAAATCACAAAGCATTTACAGTCTAATGAAAAGAAGAACAAATTCCATCTAAAGTCCTGATTTCCACAGAGTGTGTTATTGTGTGTGTCCATCCTCCCCCTCAGCACCTGCAGTAGAGTCCAGCTGCAGCAGTGCAGTCTCTGTGCAGCTGACTGAGGGAGCTTTTTGTACACCTACTAAACACTGTGAGAACACTGTGCCACTGATGTCATGACGACTCAGACAGTAATAATCTCCTGCATCTTCAGTCTGGACATTACTGATGGTCAGAGTGAAGTCAGATCCAGATCCACTGCCACTGAAACGAGCCGGAATACCTGGCTGTCTACTGTTAGCATAGTAGATCAGGAGTTTAGGAGCTCCAGGTTTTTGCTGAAGCCAGGACAGATAAGTACGCAAACTACTATCAATGAACACCGCAGGGCTGGTTCTACAGCTGATGGTAACTGAGTCTCCTGGAGAAACAGTTTTCACTGCAGGAGTCTGAGTAACAGTCACCTGACCACTGGATCCTGAGAGAAATAAAAGAAAGGAAAATTAAAACATATTAAAATGTATTTAAAATATAACATTAAAATGTAACAAAAATCCAACAGGACAGAAATTAATGTATAAATAGACTAATGAGTGAGTTACCTTGAGTCCAGAGGGTCAGTGTCCAGATGAAGATGGAGACCAAAGTCATGGTTGCTGTGGGTGAAGTTTGTGGGGCAGCAGCTCTCAGTCATGAAGTGTTAAACTCACAGGACTATAAACACTAGCAGAGCACTGAAGCATGGGCTGATAATGCAAAGTGGAGCCTCTATGGAAATGAAGAAAAACTCCTCTCTGAACTGACATGATAAACAAAAAAGATATTGTAAATAAAAGACAAATATTAGAGAAGATTTAGTTTCAGATGAGAATTTTAAATAAAAATAGCACTATAACATTATAAAACGAGGCTGAAGGCAGTGTGTGTGTGTGTGAGTGTGTGTGTGTGTGTGTGTGTGTGTGTGTGTGTGTGTGTGTGTGAGTGTGTGTGGTCACTGTAGTGTATCAGAGGTTTTTGTACGGCGTCTTCATTGAAATCTATCACTGTGGTGGACGTTTGGTGGAGGAACTAAACTCTTTGTGAAAAGTAAGTAACTTTTCTTTTTCCAAAGCCACAAAAACTGTAATGATTATTTCCACATCCAGTTATATTGAATAATCTCAGATAAAGTGAATAATGAATAATAATATTATTAATCACTGATCAGTTTAGACTCTTTATAATTCTGCAGAAATCTGAGTTTTACTGTGTGAGTCTGTTTCAAACACAACCAGAGGAACATTCTAGAAAACAGTCATCAGCTCTGATCCAGGAGTGCACAGTTCTGCTCCTGGTGAGTCCAGCACAGTTGGCCGGTGTCCAGGACTAGAGCTGTGTAAACCTGATCTAGTTGAACAAATGATCAGCATTAGTGACTCTCAGACTCCTCCAGTCCACAGTAGCAGTGAGTTGTTAGACTTTTTCAGTGAAGAATTCATTTCCATAGTTCTGAACAAGCTTTATGGCTTAATGCTCTCTAGATTGACCACATGAGCTCTTGACTCAGTACCGTATAGGTCACTGCTAGGATTATTACTACTGACTGGACAACCTTTACTAAATATAATTAACCCCTTAAACACCCAGGAGCTGCTGGCAGGTCGAATACATACATATTTATATATTCATACGACTGAAGAGTCGCTCAGTTTGCAGTGTTCTCCATGTAAGTTCTCAATAATAAGTCTTAAGATGTAATAAGTCTGGGATTTTAAGGGGCTAATAAACCACACCTTGGTCCCCCTCATCTCTCTAATTATTGTCCTGTATTTAATATTCATTTTCTGTCTCAGATTTTGGAGAAAGCTGTTGATCAGCAGCTCTGTTCGTTTTTAAAGCTGGTATAACAAGCATGAATGATTTAGATCCAGTTTTCAGAAACATCGTAATACACAGTCAGTGCTGTCTAAAGGGCTCAGTGACTTACTGGTTGATCAGATCATGAAAACGTCTTTTGCTGCTGTTGGGTTTGACTGCAGTGTTTGATATTATCATTCAGACTGAAGTGTTTTTGCTGGGCTGATTGAAATAAGGAGCAGATTTTATCCTCAGTGTTGAAGCTTTTACTGTGCAGTTAAAAGCTACAGTCCAAGATCTCATAACGCTGGATGATGATTCATCATTTCAGTCACATATAAATATAATTTACAGAACAAAGTAAGACATGATAATCCTACCAGATGCTGAGAAATGAATGAATGATTCCAGATTAAACTGAATCTCTAAATAAACTCCATCATGGTCAGAATGTGGCAGCCTGTGTTCTTACCAGGAACAGAAGATCTGATCATATTAGCCTTATTGAATTTACACATTCAGTAGAAACTCATGATCACTCAACTGGCTTTAATATCCATTTATTAAATATCATTTCTTGGACAAAATAATAAAATACTTTGAGATGTTGCTAATACAAAAAATAATAAAAGTAATAATAACAGTCTTTAGTTATACAAACTGCGATCACTAACGGTTGGTATGTTTCTGCTCTCCAGACAGACCCTCCGTGTCTCTGCTCCCCCCCTCCTCTCTGCAGCTGTCTGAGGGATCCGCCTCGCTGCTCTGCCTGCTGTCTGGCTACTCTCCACAGGGGGCGCAGGTGAGCTGGACAGTGGACAGCTCAGAGGTGAAGGAGGGGGTTCTGACCAGCGTAGAAGAAGAGAAGAACGGCCGCTACAGCCGCAGCAGCACCCTGACCCTCAGCAAAGCACTCTGGGAAAAGGGGGAGGAGTTTGTCTGTACGGTCTCCCACGACAACGTGGACCAGCGAGCCTCGTTCCTAAAGAGCCACTGTAAAGGCTAGCAGCTCCAAGATAGAGCTGACCATAGAGCTGCTTTCACATGCAGCTCCAGTAGAGTTTAAACTCTACACAGTGCTGATATTTCTGTCTGTACTCTGTTCAGTGTCCTGTTGCTGTAGCTGTGCTTTTGCTGAGCTGAAATAAAGCTTCATTCTGGACATTGTGAGTTCTTTACTGTAATGAATGGTGATGGTCAGTGTTGTTAGAGAGGGAGTTCAGCTGTAGATTCAGTGCAGTGCTGTGTGTTGATCTTGAGGGAGTTTGACTGAATTAAGCTGAACATCTGCTGAAAGTGCTGCTCTATCCTGGGAGAAAGAGGACGACTCAGGCCTGTTCATGCAAATCTGAGTTTCACCCCACTGCTCTCTCTCTCTCTGTCTGACTGTTTACTGCTTAAAACTGCTTGTTTGTGTTCAGCTGGGTGGGCTGTGGGGGGCTGGTTTCACTTCTTACTTCAGTGTTGCTTCGTAGTGTTAGTGTATCATCCCTCATTAAACTCGTCAGGTAATTCTAAAGCCCTTCATGGGTTTAGTCCAGTGTGTTAGACTAAGACTACAAAAGTATGAGGACTGTAGAGTATTCAGGGCTGGAACTGAGAACCAGTGTGAGGAACCTTTGAGAATAAACTACTGAACTGTCAGGCAGTTAAAGGACTGTGAGAGGAGAGATCCACTGATGCTGCTCCAAAGCCTTTATTTATCCAAGCTGAGAACTTCCCAACACAGCACAGCAGCTCACGGCTCAGAGCTGCACTCATTCATTAGCTTGTGTGGTCTGAAATAAACTAGAGTGAAATAAACACCACAGCAGTTTAAGTAGTCTAGAGAATTAACACATCATCTTCAAGCAGTAATGAAGTCTACACTACTGTTTAAGACTCATCACAGGCTTTAACTACAAGTCCACCATCACCAAAGTCTCTGTTTAACTTATACAACAGCGCCTCCTTGTGGGTGCAGCGTGTCTCTTTTCACTTACGTGACTACAATCACTAGAAAGGCTGACACTCTGCTTTCACAGTGAACAGACATGGTACATAAACAGGGCACCATCACCAAATAAAGAGAAATTCTCTGTGTTAGAGCTACAGTTGAGTGATAATCCTGTACCAAATAAACATTAGGCTGATCTGTGACCTCATTACACTGTACTGCTCCATAAACACTGGTGTTATTTAGATTTCAGTGAACTCACACATTAAATATGTAAGACCAGCATTACTGACCTGCTTTACTCGGCTGAGGAGGCAGAACTTTGCCTGAGATATTTCATTTGAGACAGACTTCCTCCATCTAGGATAGAATTAGATAGTAAGATTACAGTGAACTCTATTAGCAAGCTTTACATGCAAAAACAAAACACTTTGATCTTTTTTGTGGATAGCTACATTTTCTTCACATTAATTTGTCCTAAATTTCCTAATTTTGCTAGTTATGGATCATTGTTCTGGACTTCTGGATCTGCAGCTTGGATTAAAAAATGGCATATTTGGAAGTGGGAAGAGGGATCATGAGATCGACCGCAGGCTGGGACAGGCAGCAGCAGTAATGCGGTCGCTGTACCAGACTGTAGTGGTGAAGAGGGAGCCGAGCAATAAGTAATACTAAAGTTAAATCTAGAAACGAAGAGTGACCATCAGGCTTGACCGGGCATTGAGGTGTTTTGCATTCTCTAGATACGCATAGTTTTTATGGTCCATTAATACAACGAGTAGGTGATTAGCATCCTCTAACCAGTGTGTCCATTCTTCTAATGCAGTATCACTAGGACAGCTTTTTTACATCTTCGCAACATCGCCAAAATAAGAAATGCCTTATCGCTGCACGATGCAGAAACATTAGTACATGCCTTTATTACTTCAAGGCTAGATTACTGTAACGCATTACTGTCAGGATGCACCAGCAGGAATTTAAGTAAACTTCAACTAGTTCAAAATGCTGCAGCCAGGGTTCTCACTAAAACTAGAACATTTGATCATATCAGTCCAGTTCTATCATCACTCCATTGGCTGCCTGTTAAATTCCGTATTGATTACAAAATTCTTTTATTGACGTATAAAGCCCTACATGGGCTCCTGAGTACCTGCAAGACCTTATTTCCCATTACGAGCCACCACGATTACTCAGATCACAGAGTGCTGGCTTTTTAATAGTTCCCAGAATTCAGAAGGTTTCATCTGGGGGAAGAGCCTTTTCTTATAAAGCCCCCAAACTCTGGAATGATCTTCCAGAAAATGTTCGGGACTCAGACTCAGTCGCAATCTTCAAATCTAGGCTGAAAACTCACTTGTTTAGTTTAGCTTTTGGTAGTTAATGTTTCCCCTTGGATAAAGGCAGCAGATCCAGGGGTCCATGGACGCAGGGAATTATAGTAAACTGAGACGCTGGTGCTGTCGTCCCGCCGCTCGCACGCCATCACTCAGGTTTGTGGACGGTGGAGCGGAGGGATGCCAGATTGTCTCAGGGCGCTCCCGTGTCTGTGTGCCCTTTTGGTTCTCTCCTTTTAGTTAAGCTGTTATAGTCAGATCTGCCGGAGTCGTTAGCTACACTCTGGAAATGTTCACGTTCTCTGTTTTACATACACTCAAACAAAATAAAACTAATTCCATCTCCCTTCCTTTTTCCGAGTAAACGACTGCCCACCTGCCGGACGGACACTGATGGATGATTGTCTGTGGAGCTCTCCTGCTATCCGCTTCAGACCAGTTGCCCACACCCCAGTCGCCGCCACTTGCCCAGCTACCGCCACTTGACTTGGACTAGCTGCCCACTCCCACTCTACACTGAAGTTTTCATGGACTCCTAACTACTACTACTATTACTACTGCTACTACTACTACTATTAATATTAGTAGTATAATAATTGTGTAGGTAGTTTGACCAGAGGAGGACGGGTCCCCCCATGTGAGCCTTGGTTCCTCCCAAGGTTTCTTCCTCAGCTCTGAGGGAGTTTTTCCTGACTCGCTCACCTGGAGGATTTACATTTCATGTTGAAACTTTGTCTTTAATGGATTTCTGTGAAGCTGCTTTGTGACAACATCAGTTGTAAAAAGCGCTATACAAATAAATTTGACTTGACTTGACTTGACTAATGCAAGTTTTACAGCCAACAACT